GATACCCCTTAATACAATGTGAGAAAGGTCACCTGAACAATATATATTCCTATATATATGAATATATAGTATGAAAAAGTCAAAGGTGCAACAAGTATTTCTACATTCTGGTACTTTATTTCTAAATGACTAAAATGAGACAGATACTCATACCTTTGAAAGGATTAGGAGATATGATATGATCATGTGGGAAATAAGAGTCTCCAAAAGGACTTCTAAAGCCATTAGATCAGTTAGAGCAGTACAGTATTATTAAATTTCTTAAACTCCAAAAACTAGTAAAACACAGAGAAGTAATAGGTGGAGCACAAGTGGTTACTGCAGCAGCAACATTGTCTGAAAATCATTTATGAGTAAGTCTATAAAAATGTGCAAGAGCTGTGCAAAAAAAATTAAGATTACACCAAAGTGTTTTTTTATGAATTTGTATTTTGTGCACTAATTAGGTCAATCCTGTGTTGTGGATACTGAAGTATGAGGGCTTGGGAACTCTCAGGCACCCCTTTCTCTGCTAGAATCTTGAATTGGACCCATGGTGAATGATGATGATGTTTACTGCTGACAACTTCTTGGCAGAAGCACTGCCTCCTGTCCATGACACTCTTTGATAATGGATTAGCTTGGGTTTTATTGTTGTGAAGAAACACCATAACCAAGGCAACTCTTATAACAGAAAATATTTCATTGGGGCTGGCTTACAGTTTCAGAAGTTTAATCCATTGTCATCATGGGAGGAATCATGGCAGCTTGCAGGCAGACATAGTGCTGGAGGAGCTGAGAGTTCTACATCTTGATCCACAGGCAGCAGAAGGAGACTGTGTTCCACACTGGGCATAGCTTTAGCATAAGAGACCTCAAAGCCCACCCCCTCAGTGACATACTTCCTCTAACAAGGCCACACTTCCTCCAATGAGGCCACACCTCCTAATAGTGCCACTCCCTATGGGCCAAACATTCAAACACATGAAGGGGCACATTTATTCAAACCACCACATAGAGAATACAGGTACACAATTGCCTGTACCAAGTGGCTCACCTTTTACAGGTACCTACTGGTCTCTGGCCTTTTCATCTTCTCCGTCACAGCCTTCAGTAATCTGGACAATCTGGTCTTTGTTAAAGGTGTATAAGCAAATATCTTCCCTGAGATTCTCCTCTGCTTGCTGTTGATGCTCATTGTATCCAGCCTCATCCACCAAGGCTATATCATCACCTACTCCATCTTCTCCATGTTACTCTGAACTAAATCAACTAAATCCACCCTGTACCAGGCAATGACTTCAGTTGTCACACTGGCCAAAATGACTCTGTCTTAAAAAGCTAAGAAAAACCACCATTCTTGAGCATTATGTGTAACAATCCTTCCCTGTTCTGGAAAGCAATTAAGGCTTTTTAAAAATAAGGCAATAGTAGCAAATAGCTGGCTAGAGTTCTTTTGTTTACCTAGAGATCAGGGGTAGTGAAGGGAGCTCTTCATATACTAGGCTTAGGTAGTGTTTGTACATTTCCATGTTTGACAGCAGCCAGTGCAACAGAGAAGCAGTGCAGCAGTAAGCAATACCCTCCAGTTTTACAGCACATGTGCAGGTCTGGCACCTCAGGATTTCTCAGCTGTTAGTGTTACAGTATGCAGGTCCGTCTCCAGATGAGGTACCGCGAGGATCTCTGACTTGGCTGAGGACAGGGTGTGAACAGAATAGCGACTGCCTCTGTCTGTGAGCGGTCCCGGAGGGATGGAGTGCAGACAGGGAGAGTCCGATGCTGCCTCTGCCACAGTGTCTCCGCAGCGGGTTGAAAAGTGTTACAGCTCTTTGAAGTGCCCTGGTGAGGCACCGGCTGGCCAGCGAAGAGAGGGAGGGACTGCGACAGAAGCTCTCAGACAACAGGATGAATCTCGCACACCTTTACTTCCGAGTTTGGCCCATATATACAGTTTTGGGGTGGGTTAAGTTCTGGCAGCAGGTAACCCCTATTGGCGTGGTCTGAGAGCTTGGGAATGCCTCATCTGCATAATGGTGCTACTCCTACGTGATCAATGACCATGGGCCTCTCTGTGGGAGGGAATGTGGAGGGCTGAAGCTGAGAGAGCCAGAGGCCTAGGAAGAGCTTGAACGCCTTCCATTCCAGCAGTTATCCAGGGCTCTGGGGTTCTAAAGCTCATTCTACCAGGCATCCGGCTTTTTCTCATAGTTCACTGCCCTACGACAGTACCCAGACCTGGGGTGTCAGGATCCTTGGTTCCAAAAGCTTGATAGATGTGTTGAACTTTTCTAACTACCACGGCCTGTAGTTTTTCTTCTCTGGCTCTTTATAGCCTTTTATCCTTCAGTTTCCTATTCTCTTTTTCTGTCTTCTTTCATCCCTCTCTCCCTTCTTCCTTTTCTTCTTCCTCTTTCTTTTCTCCCTCCTCCTCTTCCTCCTCCTCTCTTCTTCCTCCCCTCTTCCTCTTCATTCTCTTCTTCTTATTCTTCCTCTTTCTCCCACTACCCCTCTTCCTCCTCCTCTTCCTCCTCTTCTTCCTCTTGTTCTTCTTCTGTCCCTCTTACTCATATACTGGTTGCTGTTTAACAATGTTTAACTGCCTCCTGTTGCTATGGCTACTGCTATAGTTACTACTCTTTTCTCCTTCTGCTTCAGTCTGCAGCTGAACTTGTAGTTCTTTCCATGTTGAAGCAGTCAGTGCTGTCAGCACTTGAGTTCTCCAGCTCAGCCTGTAGTTGTTCAGCTCCACATCCGCTGCTTGTCAGGGTAGTGTTCCTGTGTTTCTGCCTCATGTATCACTGCTCCACTGTTTCTGCTGCTTCTGCTGCTTTCCTTTCTTTGCCAGCTCAACCCTAGTCTCCTAAAAGTAGGCAAGAAGAGACTGGCTTTTTGTTGCCACAGGGGAGACAGCACAGGAGGGTTTCCTCTGGATCACTCGGTGAGCTGAACTGCAGGGTTAAATCACTGCTGAAGAGATAATATGCACCAGTCATCAAGTCTTTCATGCACATGAAAGTCTGTTTTTCCACCAAAGCATTGTCCCTTTGCTTGGCCACCGGGGGCATGTTCCGATCTGGCCTGACTGAAAATGGATCAGATCCTGATAGAATTTCTTGGTGTATGTGGTTGCGAACAGTCCAGTACCAGGTGTTCAAAACAGTTCTGATTGGGGCTGGCCCTTCAGGAGAAGGAGCAACAAGTTGTGATTGCTTCCTAGGAGTTTCTTTAAGCAATGTCTTAAAAATTGCTAGTATTATTCTAAGGGTGACTTAGCCGAATGCTTGATTGTCAATCCTTGGCTGAGGCATCCAGAGCATAGTCTACATCTGTTGGAGAGTCAGTGTCTCACCCGCCAACATTTTTTTCTTGATTTACAGGAAAATAATGCTTAAAGTAAGAACATAACAACATTGATTTTGATTTTAACCATATTCTCCACTGCTTTAGTCTATGCTGAAAACCTGCCAGACATCCCAGAGAAAGGTGGATCCTCCTCATTGTCTCCAAAAGTTGTATCAAAATCTTTTAGAACATGGCTATCTGAAGATGTTGAGCTCTAAACATCTTTGGGAATTGTGCTGGCTTATCCTTATGCCTCAGTGTCCTGAGTGAAATAAGCTATTGTTGGTTTGTGTTTTTGTTGCAATGCCACAGATGACCTGAGATCCTGATGTCTGGTGTTTCTACTCTAGGGACATTTGAGAATCTGTCTTAAAACCATCTCTCAATCGTTCCCATAGAACATGATAGAGGATTTGGCAAATATCTCTGCCTCTTCCTTCTGATGAACAAAGCTACACAGTCTGTGAACCTTGACCTACTTAGTCCAGGTTAAGGTATTATGGAGCAGCATCTTGATATTGTGAATATAAAGGGTCAGGAAGCCGTTTGATAGTTCCCTTTTGCTATTCTAAAACTTACATGCTAAACTAATTTAAAAAAAGAAAAAAACCCAGATGCCGTTCTTCATAAATAAGGCTTTGGCAGGAGGAGGACAAGAGTTCAGGGCCAGCCTGAGCAACATTCATAAATGAGCAAGACCTCATTTATGAATGAATGAATGAATGAATGAATGAATGAATCCAATTGCATATAGGATTATATCACACTCAAAGAAATAAATCTAGTACTTAATTCTAAAGTCCTACTTAAGATGTGTGTGTGTATGTGTGTGTTTATGTTTTAGCTTCCATTAGCTCCATCAAGAATTGAGTAATCGCTATCAAAAGCAAAATTGAGTATATTTCTCTTTTCTTGTGCTGTTTGTATGCCCACTTGTCACTTGGTCTTCTTATCTTGAACAACAACAAAGTCTAGGATGAAGGTCATAGATCTGTTAGATAGCTTTGAACCCATGGACAGGTGGCTCCAAGGACTGGGAAGGCCCTAGGCTGGCTCTATGTCTGGCTTCCTGAGAAATACTAAGCGATTGCTACATAGTAAACAGTATTCTTAGTGCTATCCTGATGGAGGAAAGGTAGAGTTTTTAATCAAACACCACATCCCTACTGAAAATACTAATAGGGTGCATGGATCTGGCTTTAGACCTGAGCCATGCACCACCACCTCCTCTGAGTGTTCTTGAGGGGGGCAGGTGAGTGTGGCTGAACTTTTTGGCCCAGATTATATCCATCATCTCTATGCTCAGACTCCTGGGCAGTGAGGTTGTACTGTCCCTTGTAACTGCTCTACTGTAGTTCAGTTCAGAGAGAACCCGAAGCCTAGAAATGCTTCTGTGGTTGTAACTAAGCAGTGACCTCTGTACACTCGTTTATCTCCCTTAGTAAACTACCTAAGGACAAGCCTGTGCTCCATTTTACTCCTGGAACTTCATACTTTGTTCCTTTAACTCTGCTTTTAAATACGGTATCATCAGAGTCTAAGCACATTTCATCAGTTTGCAAAAATGGTCTGGATGTTATCACGTGGTGTCTTCCCTGTGAGCCAAACAAATGAAAACCTGGGTTTAAGACACAAGAACACTAAATCTAAGTCTAACCGATCTTTTTCCTTTGCAGCCTGTGGGATCCGAGCAGACAGAAATGCGGATGCGGCAGATGTGCAGCGGAAGTGAGACTCAGGACTCTGTCCCAAGCCAGCAGCAGGGCATAGGTGGCCGAGGCTCCAATGCTTGCTGCTTTTGCTGGTGCTGCTGCTGCAGCTGTTCTTGGTAAAGTTGGGAGCTTTTGACTAAAGTGCTGATTGGGAGGGGGCCTTTGAGTACAGTCTGTATATGATACATGTAGCATGTGGGTTTTGGTTTGACTTGTTTGTAGCCCAGGCTGCCCTCATAACCTTTGTTTGTGGTCAAGGAAGACATTCAACTCCTAATACAGACACCTCACCCCCCATCCCCTAGCCCCCACCACCGTCTTTATTCCCCACATGCTAAGATTACAGGCTTGTGCCATGTTTGGCCTGCAAAAATGTTTTAAACAGCTACTAGGTGCCTGGGAAAGACATAGATACATATATATGTAGCAAAGGACTACATGTTGAGAAAGTTATCAACACTTCAGATAAGGCTAGCATAGATTAACAACTAGAGAACATGTAAAACAGTTATGAGCACAAGTTAACATTTGGGTAGAAACACTCACAGATGTCTAAAAAGGCCTTCATTTTATCTAATGGCTTTGTGGAGGATATGGAATTGAAAATTTATCTTTAAAATGAAGGTTTTAAAGCCTGGATTTTTATCAGATTTTGCTTTCATGTTGCTAGTTTTGTTTTTTCCTAAAGATAAATGACAAATTATATACTTAAAAATAGAGACAGAAATTTTAAAAATATATAATCAACTTTGCTTAGTAAAGAGAAAACCAGAAGGATGTATGTGAAAGACACAGAGGCTTGAATGTAAAGTATCCATTTCACTGGCACATAATGTTAGGCTTAGTGACAGCCAAATTAAGCATCACTTAGAAATTGCAAGTCTTGCCGGGCAGTGGTGGTGCATGCCTTTAATCCCAGCACTTGGGAGGCAGAGGCAAGCAGATTTCTGAGTTCAAGTCCAGCCTGGTCTACAGAGTGAGTTCCAGGACAGCCAGGGCTACACAGAGAAACCATGTCAAAAAACCAAAAAAAAAAAAAAACCAAAAAAAAAACAAAAAAAAAAAGGAAATTTCAAGTCTACCATGATCGTTATTGTATGTAGATGTGTTGCTCACACATGATGTGTATATGTGGGCTTGTGTGGCACAGCCCATGTGTGGAAGTCAGAAAAAAAACTCTGGAATTGATTCTCTCCTTCCACATTTACATGGGTTCCAGGGATCAAACTAAGGTTAACAGCTACAATAGCTTTCACCCACTGGTATCCAAATATAGATGATTTATATATACATTATATACATATTATGTACAAATCTACTTTGAAATGTAAAGCAAGTCTAGGCAGGGTGGTATAAAATTATTATTCCAGCTACTTGAGAGGTTGAGGCAGGAGGTTTGACTGAGTTCCTGGACAAGAAATAGAGGCTAGCCTTGGGCAACATATCAAGTCCTCATCTTTATTTATTTATTTATTTATTTATTTTTATTTTATGAGCATTGTTTTACCTACATGTATGTCTGAAGGTTCCAGATCCACTGGAATTGGAGTTATAGATATGTATGAACTGCTATGTTGGTGCTGGGAATTAAACCCAAGACCTCTGAAAGAGCAGCTTGTGCTCTTAACCACTGAGCCATCTCTCCAGCCCCTCAAGTCCTCATCTTGGAAAAAATAACATAAGACCCAAGATAAATTCCAAGTGGCTTAAAGGCCAAGAAGAAAATGTAATACAGTGTCTTTATCACTTTGATACTGAAAAGCTTTCTCCCCCCCCCTCTTTCATATTATATTTAGACTGTAGTCCTTTCCCTCCTTTCCTCCCAGTCCTCTCAGGCCCCCACTTCATTTCCTTTCAGAAAAGGGCAATCCTCCCATGGACATCAACCAAACATACCATATCGCATTAGATGAGACGACCCCACAAGAGGAAAAGAGTCCCAAAAGCAGGCAAAGACTCAAAGACAGCCCTGCCCCACTGTTAGGAGTCCCACAAGAAGTGCAAGCTACCCAACCATAACATATGTGCAGAGGGCCTAGGTAAGACCCATGCAGGCTCCCTGACTGTTGGTTCAGTCTCTGTGAGCTCCTATTAGCTCAGATTAGTTGATTCTATGGATTTTCTTGTGGTGTCCTTGCCCCTCTGGCTTCTACAATAGAAAAAGATTATTTTTTGAAAATAAAAACAGTAACTACAATGAAAAAAATCCCCTGGAGCTGGAGAGATAATTGTTCTTCCAAAGGACCAGGTTTAATTCCCAGCACCTAGACGGCAACTCACAAATCTTTGTAACTCCAGTTGTAGGGAGAAGCCAGGAAATCACCCTCATATAGACATGCATGCAGACGAAACACCAATATACATAAAATAAAGATAAATAAGTTGAAATATGCTTTAGAAAAAAAGATTTTGCCGGGCGGTGGTGGTGCACGCCTTTATTCCCAGCACTTGGGAGGCTGAGGCAGGCGGATTTCTGAGTTCGAGGCCAGCCTAGTCTACAGAGTGAGTTCCAGGACAACCAGAACTACACAGAGAAACCCTGTCTCAAAAAAAAGCAAAAAAAAAAAAAAAAGATTTAAAAAAATGAAATAAAATGACTTAAAAGGAGAAGGAAGAGTAAGAAAAAGAAGATGAAGAAGAGGAAGGGGAAGGGAGGGGGAGAGGAAGGGGAAGGGCAAGAGCAAAGAGAAGGAAAAGAAGAAACAAAATGAATCCTAAATTTGGCATGGCTATAACCCCAGACTTGTATCATAGCATCTGTGGAAACAGGCTGACAGTTCCTTGGGGCTCACTGGCTTAGCTTTAACCAATGAGAGACTCTGTCTCAAACAAGCAAGCAAGCAAGCAAACAAACAAACAAACACTGAAGGTAGGTAGCTCCTGAGGAATGCCACTTGATTTTATCCTCTGGCATTCATGTGCACACACATACACATATATTCTCACACACAGAGATAAGTAGTAAAAGAAAAAAAAAGGTAAGACATACCTAGACAAGATAATTAAAATATCCTTAATAAAGAATTCAGATCCAGAATATATGAAGAGTTTCACGACATAAAATAAATTACTAAATGAAAAGCAAGCCAACAAAATAACACAGAAAAGATATCTACATGTGTTCCTGCCAACAAGATTAAGATAAATGTAAGCTTGACATAGTGGCATACACCTCTTATACCAGCACCTGGAGAAGCAGAATCAGATCTCTGTGAGTTCAAGGCTAGTATGGTCTACATACAGAGTTCCAGGACAGCCATGACTACAGAGAAACCCTATCTAAAAAAAAAAAAAAAAAAAAAAAAAAAAAAGCAAGTTGAATATATACCCTCCTAAATATGTGCCTAGAAAGCCACCTAATAAAAAGTGAGGCACGTGCAGAAAACACATCATTAGTCTCCAAAAGAAAAATGCAAAGTAGTTCTCTAGTTCACAAACATGAAGTCAGTGGATTATGCCTCATGGTGTCTTCATGCCTTTGTCATTTCAACTCATTTGCTACAGTGGGAAAGCAATTACAGAGAAATGAATGTAGTAAAATAACTCTTAGATGACATCCAAATGTGTAGGTGTGCACAGTAGCGTCACTATGGGCAAGAATGATGAACAAATTGAGCTTGATGGTTCTCCCTAAGGTAGAGAGTAGGAGTACACAACAAAGTATGTGGGTTGAGAAGAATTCTCCTCTAAAATTAATAGATTCATAATTATCCCAAAATATAATGTGTTGTTTTCCCATCACTGGAAAACAACATTTTTCCTGTCTTTTTTTTTCCAGCATTCTCTTAAGAGATGTTTGTGTTGGTATACATAGTAGAGCAAATTTTTTTTTTTTTTTTTGGTTTTTCAAGACAGGGTTTCTCTGTATAGCCCTGGCTGTCCTGGAACTCATTCTGTAGATCAGGCTGGCCTCGAACTCAGAAATCCACCTGCCTCTGCCTCCCAAGTGCTGGGATTAAAGGCATGCACCACCAACGCCCGGCTAGAACAAATTTTCTAGAAAGAGAACTAGCACTAATTTTCTCAGCTCCAATGATATTTTTCTCAGAATACCAGTCCTCTAATAAAGGGAAGCACTCCAATTTTTATTCTCTAAAATATAAATGTTTTAGCCACTGGTGAACTGCTTCTGTAATAGTGCTTCACCCATGTTTATGTAAGGAACTGTAACTCGCTGGGCCGCCAAGCAGTAAAAGGGGCATGTGAGTAGACAGACGGGTTGGAAAGCGGAGGGGGTCCATGAGAGCAAGAAGAGGACAAGGGAGGGTGACAGGTGAACATGATCAGCATACATTACATGCATATGTGAAATATCAGTATGTATAATTAGAATACGCTAATAAAGTGCTAAACTTTAATTTTAAACTGGAGGGTGTCCGTCCCCCTCCTTTCTCACTGAAAATGGAAGTCCCTGAGTCTAATACTGTGTTGCTAAGGTAATGCCAAGCACTGATCTGGCTTGTGGTCCTCACCCTCCTCTAGGGTGACAGCCACAGTAGACCCCATTAACCAAGTGAACCACGAGAATATCCTCTGTGCTTTTCCCTGGAGTGCACCGTCCCCTTTAAACTATTTCTGCTTTAGCAAAATAAGATGGGGAAAATGTCAAAGTGTGAGTAAATTTTGCATGATTTGGTTCACAGTATAACTTCCAATTCTCTTTGTAGCCTTGTGTCAAAGTCACAATTCCGTTTCTCTTTGCTCTTTCAGACTCACTGTGCACTCATGTGTTCTGCTTACAAAGAAGCCAGGAAGTCAGGCAGGATAAATGTTCCCCCAGACAGGATGCAGCTCCAGTGCCTCTCAAGGGTTCTTTTTTGTTTTGTTTTGTTTTGTTTCATTTTTAAAACCCATTATTTATTGAAATGCTTTAGCCTTAGCATCATAAAAGAAATAAGTCAAAAGGATTCCTGAATATTTAATGATTTTGCCTTTACAGAAAAATCTCTCTCTCTTTCTCTCTCTCTGTCCCTCCTTCTCCCCCTTCCTTCCTTCCTCCCTCTCTCCCTCCCCATCCCTAGCTAAAGCTTTAAAAGCTGATTGCTAAAAGCAGGCTGAAAGACTTTTTATAAAATAAAGTGTTAAGGAGATGCATAGGAAAATGACCAGAAACACTAAAAATATCATAGCAAAACAAAAGGCCTCAATTATGAATGATAAAATTGTATCTTTAGAGGTAGATGGGACTGTTCAGTGGCGAACACGTACTAAGCATGCAGGAAGCCCTAGGTTCAGTCTTCAGTATGAAACTTTATTTTAAACTGTTGAAATGCAGAAATGTACCTGCTAAAGTCAAGAGTAAGACAAGGACATCACAGTTGCTACCACTGTTTATTATTGTGTTGTGGGCATCAGCTAAAAGGAAGCATAGAAATAGAGCCTAGAACTTGCAACAGAAGAGAGAAAATCCTCCCTATGTTTAGATGCTGAAAACACCTCAAAAGTCCTAAAGAGCCATTATTAAAATGATGAGTAAAAAAGAATATAAAGTCCATGAAAAATAAGTATCATTAGAGTTCGTATCTAAAATATACAGAGCAAATAAGATAAAATATATAAGGCTGCCACAATCAAGAGCACTGGCTTACGGAGGACACGGGCTCGGCTCCCAGCGTCCACACAGCAGCTCACAAGCACCTGGAACACTGGTGCCAAGGGATCCACCCAATGCCCTCTTCTGACCTCTGCAGACACCCAGCATGCTTGCATTTGATACACAGACACAAATACAGGCAGAACACCCATGTACATAAAAATAAAATCTTTAAAATGCATAAAGCCAGACATCTTGAAAGTAGAAGATAAACTGATATTTAAATAGAAAAACACAGGTCTTCAGAGAAAATGTGTGACAGATAATAATATAAGGAAAGAAGCTCAGCACCACCAGTCAGTAGTGAAATGCAAATCCAAAATCATGTCTTACCCACTAAGCTAACAACTGTTTAGCAAAGATCTAAGACATTCTCGGAGGAGGGTGTACTGGTCCAGCTGCCCAGGAAAACAGACCAAAATTTCGTCAGCTGGTAGGAAGGAATCATCTGCCTTACAGCTGTGGGTATAGAGCGTTCTGGCATTTTACCCTCTCACCAGCCCCCCACGTCCCCATTGCCTCTGCCCTTTGCCTTCCAAATGCTGGTTTTAAAGGTGTGTGTCACCACCCCTGGCTTGTTTTCTTTATTGTTAATAAAAATATATTTTTATTTTTATGTGTATGTTTGGCCTGCATATATGTTACTGTACTGCATGTGTGACTGGTGTCTATCAAGGACAGAAGAAGATATCCAATCCCCTGGAACATTGCCTCCACATGAGTACTGGGAACTGAACCTGGATTCTCTGTTAAAAAGTGTTTTAACCACTCTGCCATCTCTCCAGCCTGCTTTTGGTTTTTTTTGGTTTTTTTGTTTTGTTTTTGTTTTTCTGAGACAGGGTTTCTCTGTGTAGTCCTGGCTGTCCTGGAACTCACTCTGTAGACCAGGCTGGCCTCGAACTCAGAAATCTGCCTGTCTCTGCCTCCCAAGTTCTGGGATTAAAGGCGTGCACCACCACCACTTGGCTGCTTTTGGTTTTCTTAAAAACAACATTTAGGGTCACATTGTTTAAAAAAATGCAATTCTGTCTGAGTATCTAAAATTGCCTTTTAAAATATTCATTTAGAAAATATGCTCCTTCAAACATCTTAGTCAACACATAATTAATTGTCTTGTTCCTTACAGCCTCACTGTCAGAAACCAAGAAGACCAGAGACCCCAGAGAGCTTCTCATGAACTCAGAGCAGCCATTCCAGCCTGGGAAGAAAGGTGAGCTCTTGCACTTGATCAGCTCACTGTAGTGACAGAGGTGCCAGCATCCCCTTTTTGCTTTTGGCATTGTAAGTTTCACAGAACATGGGCATTTTCCCATAACTACCATTTAGTAACATCAAATCTCAGTGTGGCTTTGAATTTCCTCTGCAGAATTCCTTTTCACTTATTTCATAACAGGGAAGAAAAGTCAACCCACTCTTCAGTTCCAATGGTGAATCACAAATAGAAGTTGATCCTTCTTGACAACCCAACTTTGTATTACTTTTATTTTTATATTTCTGCCCTTGACTGTTTTATTTCTCTTACCAAATTTCCTATTAACTTATCTTCCTTTAACTATTCTTATATCTATTCCTTATCTTGTTCTTTTTAAAATACTTATTTCATGTATACGAGTGTTTTGCTTGCATACATGTATGTATGTATGTATGTATGTATGTATGTTCACTAGGTGCATGCCTGGTGCCTGTGGATACCAAAATAGGATATTGGGTCCTTTGGGCCTGGGATTACAGAAAGTTGTGAGCCATCACATGGGTGCTTGAAATCAATCCCTAGTGTGCAGGAGCAGCCAGTGCTACTAACCGAGGAGTTATCTCTCCAGCTCCTTTATTCCTGGTCTTAATAGTATCCCTTTATAACTGTATACATTAACAAATATACAAATAGCATTGTTTACATAGTTTTATATGAACTTGTCTATTTTTGCAGACAGGTTAACAGCCCGTCCAGGTTAAGTAAACTTCCTTTCATCTTTATCTTATGTGTATTTGCCCAGGTTTTCAAAGTCTGGGAGACACAGCAAGACCCCTGCTCCACTTCCACAGTACATGACTTTGTCAGAGTAGCAGGTGTCTCACAGACCCCAGGGCAATAAATTCTGTGCCACAGCCCCCAAACATTAGGACAGGGTGCAGAAAGCTGTATGTCAACCTGCAGGCTTGGCTTAATAATGGCCATATTCTATCTCCATTTTGTGTGTGTGTAAAGCAGGGTTAATAACAGTTTTTGTAGCTAAGCCAATGAAGGGAAGCAAGGCACTTGTAACAGGGCAATTGTGTCCAGTGTAGTTTGGTCTTGCTTTGTTCTAAGTCACATCCAATTAATAAACAGAGAGTGATAAAATACCAGCTTTTTGGTGCAAATGTTTGTTAAGATAATATTTTTAAAAAGGCTATTTCTTGGGCTGACTAAGCAGTGGCGGCTCTACTTAGCTCTGCCGCCATGTTCACCGGCCAGAGACCACACACACACCACAGCTAGAAACGACCAGTCAGAAACACTGGCCCTGCCACCCACGAGATGCCAGCATGGGAGATGGCTCTGCCAGTCTACTATGCTGTCTCCACAAGGCTGGGCTGAGCCCAGACCATCCCGCCATTCACGCGGTACCCAGTAGAAATGAGACTCTAATGCTTAAAGATTATCCAAAGGCTTTATATGTTTGGTAATACTCAATAAACAAGATGGACACACAATCAGAGGTGTTTCCCAATATCTAACCTTATGATATAAGTTGTTACCCATGATGGTCCTAGACATGTGGTTCTCCATGGCTCCTACATCCTGCCTCTACCTAGCTCCTCCTCTTCCTTCTCTTCTTCCTCTCCTTACTGCTCCCACATTAGCTCCTTCCAAATTACTGAGTTTATGGTAAATGTTGCGGAGGCGGGGGAGACTATCCCACTACAGATGCTCATAGAGCTAAGCAGGTGCCTCTCCATGGAGCTGTAGCCCCAGGCCTATAAATCTTTTCTCTCACTGAAGATCTGCTCAGGTACCAGGTAGCATGTACTTACTTAGATGCACTTGATGTTATCTGCTGAAGAACTAGTTATTCATACTTAGTTGCATTTACCACATGTAACTCTATTTGTTGTAAATTTTTTGGTAAACTTAACATTACATTTGCTAGCAGTTTCTCTATGCTCCACCCAACAGTTACCTTTCTTTCTTTTTTTTAAATTGGATATTTAATTTATATTTCCCCATTTCCCCCCACCCACCCAGGAACCCCCTATCCCATCCCCTCTCCTCCTGCTTCTATGAGGATGTACCCCCAGCCACCCACCCACTCCCACCTCCCCTCCCTCGATTTCTCCCACACTGGGACATCCAGCCTTCACTGGACCAAGGACTTCCTCTCCCACCTATGCCCAACAAAGCCATCCTCCTCTACATAAACAACTAGAGCCATGAGTCCCTCCTTATATGTTCCCAGCCTGGTGGTTTAGACCCAGGGAGCTCTGGTTGGTTGGTATTGTTGCTCTCCCCATGGGGTCGCAAACCCTTTCCACTCCTTCAGTCTTCTCTCTAACTCCTCCATTGGGAACCCCATGATCAATTCAATGGTTAGCTGTGAGCATCCTCCTCTATATATGTCAGGCTCTAGCAGACCTCTATGGAAACAGCTATATCAGGCTTCTGTCAACATGCACTTCCTGACATCCACATCAGCATCTACCTTTGGTGACTGCACATGGGATGGATATTCAGTTGGAACAGTCTCCAGACAACCCCTCTAGAGCTGTACTACAGAGCAATAGTGATAAAAACTGCATGGTATTAGTACAGAGACAGGCAGGAGGATCAATGGAATAGAATAGAAGACCCAGAAATGAACCCACACACCTATGGTCACTTGATCTTTGACAAAGGAGCTAAAACTGTCCAGTGGAAAATGGACAGCATTTTCAACAAATGGTGCTGGTTCAACTGGAGGTCAGCATGTAGAAGAATGCAGATAGATCCATTCTTATCTCCTTGTACAAAGCTTAAGTCCAAGTGGATAAAGGACCTTCACATAAAATCAGATACACTGAAATTAATAGGAGAGAAGGTGGGGAAGAGCCTCGAATACTTGGGCACAGGGGAAAAGTTCCTGAACAGAACACCAATGGCATATGCTCTAAGATCAAGAATTGGCAAATGGAACCTCATAAAATTGCAAAGCTTCTGTAAGGCAAAGGACACTGTCAATAGGACAAGACAGCAACCAACAGATTGGGAAAAGATCTTTACCAATCCTACATCCGATAGAGAGCTAGCACCCAATATATACAAAGACCTCAAGAAATTAGACTCCAGACAACCAAATAACCCTAATAAAAATGGGGTACAGAGCTAAACAAAGAATTCTCAACTGAGGAAACTCAAATGGCTGAGAAGCACCTAAAGAAATGTTCAATATCCTTAGTCATCAGGGAAATACAAATCAAAACAACCCTGAGATTCCATCTCACACCAGTCAGAATGGCTAAGATTCAGCTGATAGCAGATGTTGTTGAGGATGTGAAGAAAGAGGAACACTTCTACATTGTTGGTGGGATTGCAAGCTGGTACAACCACTCTGGAAATCAGTCTGGTGGTTCCTCAGAAAATTGGACATAGCATTACCTGAGGACCCAGCTATACCACACCTGGGCATATACCCAGAAGATGCTCCAACATATAACAAGGACATATGCTCCACTATATTCATAGCAGCCTTATTTATAAGAGCCAGAAGCTGGAAAGAACCCAGATGTCCTTCTACAGAGGAATGGATACAGAAAATGTGTTATATTTACACAATGGAATACTACTCAGCTATTAAAAACAATGAATTTGAAAAATTCTTAGGCAAATGGATAGAACCAGAAAATATCATCCTGAGTGAGGTAACCTAGTCACAAAAGAATACACATGTTATACACTCACTGATAATTGGATATTAGCCCAAAAGCTCACAATACCCAAGATACAACTCACAGACCACATGAAGCTCATGAAGAAGGAAAACTAAAGTGTGGGTGCTTCAGTCCTTCTTAGAATGAGTAACAAAATACTCATGGGAGCAAATATGGAGACAAAGTGTGGGTCAGAAACAGTTACCTTTCAACAGCCAGTTGTAAGCCTAGCTTGAGTATAAGGCCTGTTTCTCTCTCTCTCTCTCTCTCTCTCTCTCTCTCTCTCTCTCTCTCTCTCTCTCTCTCTCTCTCTCTGTCTGTCTGTCTCCCCCCACCTCCTCATCTACTCCTCCACCCCTTTCCTACAAGCCCCTGGCTAACCTCTTCCCTAAAGAGAAAGAAAAGAGAAAGAAAGACCCTATTTCTCTCTCCTCTCTCTATCCTTCTCTGTGCCCTTTCCTGTCTCTACTCCTTTCCAGGTTCCCACTCTGCTTCCTGGCTCCCTTCCCCCAATAAACTTGTTTTTGTACTAGGCCTGTCACATGGCTTGATTGTTCAGTGGGACGCCTTGGCAGGCCCCCCAGATACTCCCTTCTGCCACCTTCACAGCTGTTTTATAAAATAGAACATTGGTTCTCAGTATTCAAGAGTAAATACTTGGTCCCCAGCCTCCAAATTGATGAGGATCAGAGCTGCCTTCTGCTGGCTGTGCTCTTCCCAGGACAACAGGCAAGAGGAAACATAGTCTACATTTTCCTTGGCAAGCTGTGTCCACCTGGAAGTGTCCCTTTTTCTTGATTACCACAGATCATGACGTATGCTTTATCAGGACTAGTATGGCACTGGAAAAATCATGTTGCTCACTTTTAAACGCAGACAGTCTGACCAGAGTCTGTCTCTACCCTCTATTCTATTCTCTACTGCCTCTTGACACTCATATGCACAAAATGGACTCCATAGAGGTGTCTGTGTGGGATCATTATTAAAATGCTAAAGAATTTAGCTTGCTAAGGGTAAAAGAACTTACATGTAACTAATATAATAGTTCCCAAACATGTAAGCAAATGTTTCTAGAGTAAGAAATTCCCAAACCTGCTACCACATGGATATCCCTAAGGGATGAAGAATTAGACAAATTAACTACCTATAGTTTATGCTAAAACAAGTTTCACATCTTGTATAAAAACAACATTTGGTAATCTGAAAAACAATTTCAACCATACAAAAAACATTTATAGCAGTTTTCTAAGCATTTCCTCATAAAATTTGCTTTTGCTTTTCTTATGTTTGTTTTTTGTTTGTATTATTTAGGTTTGGGATAGTGCCAGGGATCAAATCCAGGGCCTTGTACATGCTAAGCAATGTTCTACCACTGAGCTATCATCAGATCCCTTTTTAAAAAGTTTTGTTTTAGCCGGGCAGTGGTGGCACACGCCTTTGATCCCAGCACTTGGGAGGCAGAGGCAGGTAGATTTCTGAGTTCGAGGCCAGCCTAGTCTACAGAGTGGGTTCCAGGACAGCCAGGGCTACACAGAGAAACCTTGTCTCGAACCCCCCCCAAAAAAAAAGGTTTGTTTTGAGCTGAGACTCACTATATAGAGCAGGCTAGCCTCGAACCTAGTCTTCCTTCCATAGTCTAAAACATCAGAAAAATTTTATATCACAGTTCCAAGACCAGAAATGCATCAACCCATTTCTTTTTTCTTTTTAATAATTTATTTTTAGATATACAGGTAGATGTTTTGCCTGCATGTATGTCTGTGCACCACATGAATGCCTAGTGCCCAAGCAGGCCAGAGAGGGTCCTCTTGAACTGGAGTTATGGATGGTTATAAGCCACCATGTAGATACTGGGAATCAAACTCAGGTTTTCTGGAAGAGAAGTCAGTGCTCCTAACCACTAAGCCATCTCTGCAGCCCAAAAAACTATTTCTAATTAAGGTTATAGTCTTGGCATTTGGACTGCTTTTGGGTGACACAATTCAGTTAACATTGTATTCAGAATCAACATTATACCCATAAGGTTTTGTAGACCACTTCCACAAAGCAGTTCAGAAGTATATTGTTCCTCATCTATATGATATTTAAAAGACTCCTGTTACCAGCAATACCAAAATCTGTACAAAAGCAGAGAGTGAGATTGGAGTCCTACTCACAGAGCAGATAAATCTCAGAGACTTAATAAGGAGGAAAAAGCAAGTCACAGAAGACAATGAATTGGTCATTTTATATAAAAAAAAATTAAAGCCATAGAATATATTTTTCAGGGAAACATACAAATATGGACCTATGAAAAGACAATATATTAGGGATCACTATTATTTAAGCTTTTTCTGATCTCAGTACAGTTAAAATAAACTCAAAGACTACCAGTAAGCCCAAAGTCAAGTCCAGCCCTTCTCTCAGGATGAATGGTTTCCCTTAGTGAATGATGTTCTAGCCAAGGACACATTCCTAGCTGATCATTTCATTACCATCCCTCATGGCTTAGATATGTATTATTTATATTCTTTTATCTCTCACAAATGTTACATGAACCTTGAGGAGTATTAGTAGACATTACATGTTCTAATGGGCCTTTGGGAAGTGTGACTTAGTTCCATCAAGAATAATTGAGAAGTGGATTTTTCATTCCTGTAATTTAAAAGTATTGTCAGATGTGCCCATATGTAAAAAACATATGGCCATAAGATTGGTCAAAACATCATAGTGCACTGGGTATGGTGCTCCATGCCTTTAGCACCAGCAGAGCCATTAGCTGCAAAGCCATTCACAGGCATCCATCTTGTGTTTTGACAAAGGCTTAAGGAAGTAAAAATGGTGCTCTTCCTTCCCAAATGGGCCAAACATTTGTGTATTTTACATCAGACATGGAAAGCTATGTGGCAACAGCTGGATTCACCACTAGTAACATCTTCCCTTTCTTCCTTTTCCTTTGGCCACTGCTCAGTCCGACACCCACTCTGGAAGAAGTCTGTGCCTGGGCCCAGTCTTTTGACAACCTCATGGTCACTCCAGCTGGGAGAAATGCATTCCGGGAATTTCTTCGAACAGAATTCAGTGAAGAAAACATGCTTTTCTGGATGGCCTGTGAGGAACTGAAAAGGGAAGCTAATAAAAGCACTATTGAGGAAAAAGCAAGAATAATATATGAAGACTACATTTCTATTCTGTCTCCTAAAGAGGTATGTGTCCACAGAACATGTCTCATTAGAACCATTGCTAAGTTGCCTGTGTCTTGTGTTTGGTCACCTGCTGCTTGCGAAGTCCTGGGCTCTGCCCACTCAATATCATTCAGACCCATCCAGCAGACCCTGAAAATGTATGAAGCATTTTTTTTTTGGTATTTTTCCTAGAAAAAGCATTTATAATTCTCAGCAGATTTGTTTTTCACAGAGGAGTCCAGGAGCTCTCATACTGACACTGGGGTTCCTTTGTTTTGTGGTTCTAAGGGTAAACCCAGGGCTGCTCACATGCTGAGTCAGACTTCTCCAGTCCTCCCGTTGTTTAAAAACATAGTACCATATAAATAAAATTATCTTACTATCTTGAGAAAAATTTTGATGAGGAAGAGAGGATAAAGATGGACAAAGGATAAAGAAAAGGAAATTACCAGAAGCTCAAGGAAATGAGAGCATCCTGGGGCTAGGACTAGCTGAGCCCAGGGGGAGAGGGCTGTGGTACATGAGCAACAGCCAGTGCTTCTGCAATGCAGGGTGCCAGCAAACTGTCAGAGCTGTGGTGAACAGCAGCAGGCCTAGAAAAGGGAACGTCTTCATGGCAAAATTATACAGAAAGAGGTACTGTCTGTGCCTTGTTTGAGAACTAAAGAAATTTTTAAGTTTTCTGCAGTAGAAACTACCAGTTTGGCTCTGTGTCAGGACTCCGCACTAGATGGTGTTCTGGCTTACTATGAGGATCTTCTAGAGGGCTTCATCAGGCAAAGCAGATGAAAAGTCTGTCCCAGAAAGAGGAAACAAGGGCATTCTAGCTCTTTCCTTTAAATCCCAAGTGGTTCAGACTCCTTCTGAGCTAAATAGTAAAATAGAGCTGGAAATTACAGGGATTAGGTGACCATGGGCTCAAAAGCATAACCTTGAGGCTGGTACACTTGGACTTCATCCCAAGAGTCAACAAACCATGGCAAGGCACAGTTGAGTATCAGGATAGAGTTTGTACTTTAGAACGAACCCCTTGGCCAAGTCACAGAATATGTGTGGGGAGAGGTGGTGGGCAGACTCTAGAAGGCCAAGTTGGGAGCCTATTACACAAATCCAGCAACAGGGGGGACAGCAGATGGGAAGGAGATAGTCCAGTGTGGTAAGGAGGTAGAGTAGGCGCTGCATGCCTACCATATGAGCCCTGGACACTGATTTCAAGGTTGTATAGTGGACTGTCCAGAAAGGAGGAGAAGAAGAGGGAAAGAAAGAAACAGAGGTGCAGCAAAGAGAAAGATGAGAGATACACATAGGGTCACTAAATTGGAGGAATGGATGGTTCCATTGAAAGAGCTTACTAGTTTTCAAGCGCTTTATTTCTTTTCCTTTAAAATTTATTTATTTATTCACTTTCTATCCCAATATCAGCTTCCCCTCTCCTCCCAGTACCCCCTCATACAGATCCTCCCTTCCCCAATTCCTCCCTCTTCTCTGGGTATCACCCCACACACTAATCCTCCCCTACCCCCAGCTCCCTAGCACATCAAGTCACTGCAGAACTAAGTGCACCCTCTTCCTGAGGCCAGACAAGGTGGCCCAGTTACGAGAACGGGATGCACAGGCAGGCTGTCAAAGGATTCAGGGACAGCCCCAGCTCCAGTTGTTGGGGGACGTGAACAATGACCAAGCTACATATCAGCTACATATGAAAGCACTTTATTTCTAATAAAATGCTCATAAGTCAACAAGCCTAGAAACAACCATCATTTAATTTCCTAATGTGAGTTCACTAATAGGAATTCACACTTACTATAAATATAGCAGGGACAGCTGGGATAGAAACCTGGATATCACTGGCTCTCAGGCTCTGTGAGTTGAGCACTTCACTTTATAGACACCTTTCTGTTAACCTGGACTGGCACCAGAAACCTATACCTGGTTTCTAATTGGGCAGGAGCCTGCACCACCCAGGTTTTTGCCTTCATTAGCAGGAATGAGTCTGTGCATGCTGCAAAGGAATCCTATACTCATTTAGAAGAAGCAACGCACTGTGTGATTTTCCAAAGAGCCAGCATTCCTTCCAACTTGAGAGAAATAGTAAGTTGACCCTTCAGTATGACCTGCTGAGTCCTCTGGCCTTGGGCAGGCAATCTGCTTCCTAGGCCTTCCAGGGGCCAGTGCTGCTGAAGCTCCAGAGTTCCCTTTCATTCATCTGTTAGTTTCTCTCAAGCAGTTCAGACCATCAGAGCTCAGACTGTTGGAACATCTTGTTTGCTTTGGGGTTTTTTGAAAGACAAACTGATTCTGGGAGTTTGGATGGATTTACAATGAGGAATAATAGCTGCTGCTTCTCTCACAGGTCAGCTTGGACTCCCGAGTACGAGAGGTTATCAACAGAAATATGGTGGATCCATCCCAACACATATTCGATGATGCTCAACTGCAGATCTACACTCTAATGCACAGAGACTCCTATCCCCGCTTCATGAACTCCACAGTCTATAAGGATTTGCTTAAGTCCTTAGCTGAGAAAGCAGTTGAAGCATAGGTGGTTTCAAATATATTTATTATTAACAAAACAAGAAAATAACTCATGGACTACATCTAGCACACTACATCTAGCACAGGAAATTTAGAGATAGGGTATCTTGTGCTACAGTGATTCTTGGACTGTTGTAATAACAGATTCTTCCCCATGGAAAGCTATAGATTCACAACAAAAACTGCATCAGCCTTTAGTGATACTTAAAGGGGGGAGGGGTTATGATTCCCTTAGAAAGACAGTGTACTTACACTCACATAACAGTAGGATGTTCTCAAGGGCAGGGCATGCACTAGCCTCAGTTCTGCCTGCAGCATAGATGTACAAAGAGCCAATGGGAACACTTTGTTTTGCATGAGTTCAATACTGTATTACTCTCCAAAGAAATGGCATTCAAGTCCTTCAGTCTGAATACTTCACTTGCCAGGACTGAGAGTCGTATTTCACAAAGATGTGACTATTCCTTGTAAAAATCTAATCTCTCTCTATCTCTCTGCATGTGTGTGTGCGTTCAAGTGTGTGAGTGTGTGTGTGTGTGTGTGTATCTGTTATGGTTGGTGGAACACACCATGCTCTAGGTTGGTCACTCTCAGATGTTTGGTAAGGGAAGCAACATTTAAATGAAAGGGTGACTGTATTATCAGAATTAATCAACCTGAAGAGTGGACTTTAAGTTTATATATTGTCACATTCACAGATCTTCAAATAAACATATTTTAATTTTTATTGATAGAAATGTGGATATTTTCACTCTGAAAAATGAAACACAAGAGTTTTTTTTCTCAATCTTTTATTATTTCATCTGGAATTACTGAGGAACAGGGATCATGTAGGGATGCATGCAATTCAATTTTCACCTTCCAGATGAGTGTTCTGTCTTTAGATAGCTATATTATTTTAATCACAGCAAATAGGATGACTTCATAGTTTACAAGTAAAAGTAGTCATAGACTTAAGCCGCTCTGAACAATCCCATATCTACAGCAAATGGGAAATATAAAAAACTTGGAAAGATTGTAGAGACTCCACCTTTGTAAAGAAGTCTTAGCCTCCCCTTTGCCTGGTCTGGCAACAGCCTGACTGGCTTTGTTATTCAGCTCAACCCCAAATAAGATTCCTTTCCCTCAAAAAACCATCTTACATCTAACTTTTCATGAAGCTTGTCCCTCACCCCTTCCACTGTCTATAAATCCATGAATACACACAGCCCAGCATCCCTCCTTACCTCCTTGAGTATATCTCAGAGAATAATGTCTTGTACTTTTCATTGTGCCAGTCCCTTACATATGCTCCTGATCCCATTTTATCCAACCATTATTTTCACTGAACAGAGGCCATAACTCTGATTCTCTAATGGGTTACATGCCAATGGTACCTACAATGTTGTTGTAAGTCCTAGAATGAAGCAAACCCACCTCAACTAATTTTAAAGGTTATATAAAGATTCTGGCAGAAGTTCCACTAGAGTTTAACCCTATAGAACAAGACTGCATATGTTCTGCCCATAGTTACTTTAAAAGAGGGTGTTTGACTCCAAATGATAGAGTTAAGGACACGTGAAGTATGAGGTAATTGTAAGGCATATAAAAGAACAGTTGGAGAGATTGTTTGTGTAGAGGGACCTGCATGGCCAAGAGTCTAGGCTTGAAACTAAGTGTGGTTCCACATACCTGCATTCATGGCACACAGGAAGCTGGAGCAGGATTTTGAGTTTAAAGCTGGAATGAACTATACAGAGAGACTCTTCATTAACAATTATAGTATGGATTCTAGGGTAAAAAGACTGGTTTTCAGCACACAGACAATTTAGAATCCTTGGGAAGGTAAAGCATGAAGAGTGCTGACAAGCCCTGTGTGAATGGGCAGAGAGATGAGTCTCAAGGCTTGGAAGGATTTGCCTTGATATATGTAAGAAGGAAGAGAGGACATGCAGTCACAACATAAGGACAGATGTTTCAAACAGAAGGAAAGCAGCATTTCCTAGGAGTAAGGCAATGCCCACTTACCTAAGCTTGGTCTGTTCTCCCACAGCATCATCTTCGCCGGCATTCCTCCCACACCGTAGGCTTGCTCCATTTCTTCCATAAGAATAAGCCTGTATCTGTTAGCACAGTTGACACTCTCTCACTAGTTGCTCTCTTTCAGAGCAGTGCCCTGCTGCCTCTGCCCCATTTCCCTATTCATATTCACACAGAAAGGCGCTCTGACTGTTCTAGGAGGGCATCTAAAGCACATCGTTTCCAACCTTACGAGTTGAGCCCAGCCTCCTCATATCATGGGTGATTTCTTCTTGGAAACACTACTCCCCTCTCTTCTATGGGTCTCTCCTAGCTCTATGAACTACTTCATGAAATTATTCTTTCCTATTTCAATAGCAGAAAACAGTAGTCAAGCACAGGGATTCTCCTGCCAGAGTTAGCCCCAACTCCACATGCATGCCAGTAAAGGTGGGTAGTAAGTAACACTTTCAGGCCTTGTCTCCTCCTTGGTAGTAATAATACCACTCTATGAGGACTTAGATAATCCACGTAGACTACTGTAAATATTTACAACATGCTAATCACTGCTATCACCTGCCTATTGATAGTAGTGGTCCATGAAATTTGGGGTTTGTCTTACTTTCCCCTGATGTGCCCCCTATTTACTTAAAAGTACTGAATATCTACCAATCAGGGTCTGGTCTGAAACCCCTCCTTGAATTTGAGTCAGCTTCTGTCTGGACATTTGGTGTATCTCATAAATGAGGGGAACACAATCTGTTTTAATCTTGACCCCCTCACCCTCAAGGCCTACCTCACATAATTCAGCCTGTCATCTGTTCAGCTGATGTTTACTCTGGATCTTCTCTTGTATATTCTTCCTAAGGCTAGTCATTTCTCACCTTTCTTTTTCCTCTTTCCTTCTCTGAGCCATCACATCTCACTGTATCACTGTTAAGAAGAGACACACACACACAGCCAGTGGTGGTGCACACCTTTAGTCCCAGGATGCAAAAGGGAGAGGCAGGCAGATTTCTGTGAGTCTGAGGCTATGTTACAGCTCAGATGGAAAGGTATCCTAGCAGTTGAAAGCTAATGAATACCACAGAGGTCCATTAGAGCAGTTAGAGTGTTCTGTGGGTGAAATCCGGAAGTTGGAAGTCCTTGGGGGAAGAGTTTAAATATTGCATATCTGAAGGGAAAGGTATCCTGGCAATCAGGAGCCAAGGAATACCACAAAGTCATACCATACAACAAACCTCACACAAGAGATTTATTAGGAGGAAGAAACCTATGTGAGAAGACATCAGGGAACTGAGCAGTAAGGAGAATTTATATAGGATTTCTAGGTGGAGCTTTCCGGGGCAGAGCTTTCCAGGGTGAGGATTGGTGGGGTTTCAAGTCCTGTGCTTCGGGGAGCTGAGGGATTGATGGGTTGTCCTCTTCAAAGATTGGTGGGATTTTTGAAATTTAATTTTATTTTATTTTGGTTTTTCGAGACAGGGTTTCTCTGTGTTGCCCTGGATGTTCTGGAACTCACTCTGTAGACCAGGCTAGCCTCGAACTCTCGAACTCAGAAATCCGCCTGCCTCTGCCTCCCAAGTGCTGGGATTAAAGGCATGCGTGACCACCGACCTTTTTTTTTTTTCTTATAAGGTAGGTCCTGGCCACTCTATTGCCTCAGGGCTGGGAATGACAGTTACAGCTTTTAGAAAAGGACTCTTGGGGCTTTGAGGGATGTCTTAGGGGCAGGTCCTGGCTGCTGGAGTTCCTTAGGTGGGGCCTGGCCACTTTCCTGCCTTGAGGGTTTACAACATTATAAGGGAGTCCATGGCAGGGGAAGCTTTCCCTGGCACTTGGTGTGACTAGACAGTAGAGGGGCCTGACCACTCACGTGCCTAAAGGGGCTTACATTTATGAATAGATGGTCCAAGAATCCGATAGTTGTTTTGTCCATGAACCTGGCTGTCTCAGCTGGTCTTGAGTATATGATGGAATCCTGAAGGAGTAGGCTCTAAAGACAGTGAAGAGTAGACTTGTTTCCAAGGTGAGAGCAAGAAGGCGAAGAGCAAAAGTTTCCTTCATCCTATGTTCTTTTATATAGGCTTCCAGCAGAAGGCATGGTCCAGATTAGATCTGCATTAAAGATTTGGATTAGAAGTAGATCTTTCTGTCTCAAATTAAGCAATAATTGTTCAAAGGTATGACTCCAATTTTTTTTTGTTTTAGTTAATTTCAGACGTACAGTCAAGTGGACAATCAAGAATAGCCATCACAGGGAGATGTAACATCTGTAATAGATGTGATTGATAAACTGGAATTACTGCTGAAAATTCACCCTTATGCTATACCATGCACAAACTCCAACTCAACATGATAAAAGATTCACATATCAAGGCCCCAAACTATAAATCACCTAGATAAAAATATAACAGAAATGATCCAGGACCTCAGTGTTGGTGATGGGTTTTGAAGCAGAAGGCACAAAAACAAAAATGGAGAAGTGGCAGTACATGAGAATCAAACACTTCCTGTCTATACTGGAAACAGTACACAGAAGGAAAGCTGCCTATGGAGTGGAAGAGCCTGCTCAAAAACTATGCATCTGTCAAGAGCCAACTAGGAGAAGCTAAAAACTAGCAACTGATCTTCCTGAGATAGTTCCACCATGGACTAAAATCTGTGACAGATTTGCTTCTCTAGGCAAAGCCAAGAAGATTAAATTGGAGGAAAGATTCCTGCTATTAATATGCTTATCCTGTTATTATTAAATATATAACAGTCACTAGGTATTGACTCATGATTTTGATCAGATTTCTACAGACCTACAAAGATGTACTAACTTGTAGTGATGCTATATAGACAAATACAAAATGAGTCTATAGAATTCCTGACTTGATTCAAATAATTTTAGGAAAAATGTTTTTAGAGATGGTCTTAGTTGCTAGAAAGATGTAATAAAGTTAGAATCAACAATAGAGTGTGCCCACTCCTCATGATAGTAAGTAAAGGCTACATTGTAAGAAATACAATGAACTTTCCTAATCATATTAAAAAGAGAAATAGACTTGGGATAAATTTGTGTTCAAGGAAAAACATTTAGGTCTGAGGATAAACTCACAGGTGTGCACTATGATAAGGCAAGGCCATCTAAAAACTGTTGCTTTGAACTTATAATGAGTATATTATAATGAAACACTGCTTTGAACTTAATATCAACATCCTTCTGTAATTCTCATTCTATGTAACATTTTATCTTGCTGGGAACCAAGACTTCCTTCTTCCTGAGAGCAAATGTCAGTTAAGTAGATAGCCTGAGTTAAGGAATCTCTTATTGCCTTCTTCCTGAGAACAAATGTCAGTTAAATAGATAACCTGAATTAAGAAAGACTTTTTTTTTCACGTTCAAAGTTTTTAAGGCCAAGGATAACCTCTGTTCTTCCTCGGGATGCTGTCAGCCTTGCATTTTTTGAAACAGCATCTCTCATCATCCTATTTCCATCTCCCCAGCTTTGAGATTACAAGCCTGTACCATCTACAGCCTTTTTAAAAATCATGTGTTCAAGAGTGGGAATATATTGCATGGAAAGGTTTTTTATTTAAATAAATAAATAATTCAATTCAATCTCGAAAGAAAGAAAGAAAGAAAGGAAGGAAGGAAGGAAGGAAGGAAGGAAGGAAGAAAGAAAGAAAGAAAGAAAGAAAGAAAGAAAGAAAGAAAGAAAGAAAGACAGACCTTATCGGCCT